AAATCTTGCAATCCTTTCAGTGCCAGGTCATAATGATGTTGTAATTCATGCAGATAATCTATTTCCGCTTGACCACTTTCCTGTTCTAAGAGGAGAGATTGACGGTGGAAAGCACTCAGACTTAGAGCTGCATGATAAAGAGGTTTTGTTTTTGTTAACAATGATAATAACCATCCTCTTCCCGATGATAATGATGGAGTATGAAATCGGAATTGGATAAAAAAGACATGATCAAGGTAATGCATCATCAAACTTGCTTCTTGATCTTCGATCCATTTTGGGAATAACGGAGACTTAGGGTCAATGGGCTTATCATGCTCCTTTTCAATAGGTGGTGTAGACATAGAAACGACATTGTCGACACTTGGTAAATCGTCTCCTTTCTTAGCGATTTTCGTCGTAGTACTAGTACCAGTACTAGGTGACTTTGGCGATTTGGGCACCGACGATATAGAACCCGTATTTTTCCTCGCACGAAAAGCAGCTCTCTTTTTACTTGCAGACGCAGCAACAATCGCTTTAATCTTCTCCAATTCTTCTTTTGCAAACTTTGGATCATCGATCCATTTTGGTTTGGGACCATAGTGACATTCTACATTAACATCCTTACATCTCGAACAGCCTATGAGAATCGGATATTGATGAGTGTCATTCGGCAAGTAAAAACTAATCATGACTAACCGGGTTGTACTTCATCACATTTCTTTTTCCGAATTCTACACGTCCAACAACCTCGATTACTTCGGACTGCGATTGGTGAATCGACATTAGAGCCGGAAGTGTTATCCATCGAGTACGGAAGAGAGGAAATGGTGTTGAGCTGAAGCGGACACTTGCATAAATGATTACCTGATACACATTGTTGTACACAAATAGAATCTAATATCGTGATTACAGACTCGTGACTCTTCGTACTGTGTGGCCAGTATAATTCACGACACCTTTGGATATCGTATCGTCGAATCAGATGAGGAATTAGGAATATATGAGTGTAAGCTAATGAAATCCTCGGATATCATTTACTGTATATTCGGTAGATAATACACGAGAATTTGATTGCAAAGAGGCGTGTCGTGTGTGTGAGAGAGTGTGTTGAGAATGGAGGAATGATTGAGTTCTCAAGGGGAAAAAGTAACTGGAGACGAGAAAAACTTCACATCGGCTCGACTTACTCAAAAAGGGAAGTATTTTCAATCCATTTTCGATTGATACAAACCGCCAATTCCACAACAAGTTGACAATCCGCAGCTTCTTATCATTCTTATCAGGTAAAGTTAACATCACGAGTTGTACGGGTGAAACAACGACCAAACAACCCTTCAAAGAATACCTTCGCTTGGATATTCCACGAATCTCATCTATATTTCTGAGGTGCAGATAAATTTCCGAGAGCGACGACGAATAAATGAATCTTATTGGGAGAATTCTATGCTTATCTGTCATTCAACCACTCGCACTTCCCGGACTAAAGATGGTCTTTCCTAATATATCTTGATTAGTATCACCTCAGTCTTATTGGTGAGTGTGAATCATAATAGGTAGACATGGTAGGTTCAGCTGTTTGATATTGAAGCTGTCTCGTATTATTTCGATGGACGATCATGCAAGCCTCAAGCAATATAACGACGTTGAGGTTACTAACTTTCTCAATATTATGAACATCGTCATTTGAACAATTTTCGAAATGTTATTGCATTCAAATCTGTAATGTCGTCTAAAAAGGGAGCAATGTCTATAATTACCCCAACTCAATCTCAAGGATACTCACTACTAAAATTCTATTCAGCTCTCTTCCTTGGCACTTTTATTCTTACCATATGGCATTATGGAATTCCTTCACAACTAATCTCTCATGCAAACCTCGAATTAAATAATCTAGCCCCAGTCATCGCGAAAACAGGTTGGCAATGGAAAAATGTAAGTTCCTTCTCCATGTAAACTCCACATGCTCACATCTCCAGGTCGAGCCAAGCGAATCCCTCATCTGGCATACTTGCTACTCAACTTTTCAATGTGCTCGTCTTTCCCTCCCACTAGACTGGCTCAATACTTCCAACCCTTCCAAAATCTCCCTCGCAATCATTAAAATCCCCGCAACAGATCTAACCAACTACCTCGGTCCCGTCTTCACTAATCCCGGAGGACCAGGTGGTTCAGGAATTTTTTCCCTCCGAAGAAACGGACACAATCTTCAAAAAATCGTCGGTAAAAACCACGATATCATATCTTTCGATCCTCGAGGTATAGGGGCCTCAACACCTCTCATTAATTGCTGGGGATCCTCGCGTCAAAATGCAAAGATTTGGAAATTAAGTGATGTAGGAGTAGTGGATTCGCATCCGGGGACTCTGAATGATGCATATGCGAGAGCGAGTGCTCTCTCGAAAACTTGCGAGGAAAATATGGAACGGGAAGCAAGAGCTAGGGGAGAGGAATCGTTGTTGAAATTTGTGAGTACGACGAGTGTGGCACGTGATATGCTTGAGATCATGAGGAAGACGGGCACGGAAAAGTTGAGGTATTGGGGATTTAGTTATGGGACATTTTTGGGTGGTGTGTTTGCGGCTATGTATCCTGATTTAGTGGAGAGGATGGTTAGTGATGGTATGTATTTTGTGTAATGGTTTTCTTTATCTAAGTGCCCTTTCTGCTCTCTTCTCCTTACAGGTTTTCCTCATTCCTACAAAAACACAACTTCTTCCTGCTCTGGGAATTAGAAGAAATGGGAAAAGAAAAACAAAAAGACTACATAATACTCTTTCTTATAAGAAAATATCATCGAATTGAACCTCATAAAGCAATCTCAATACTAACTCCAACCAGGCAACGTAAACTACAACGAATGGTCAACTAACACTCACACCTCTTTCCTCCACGACTCCGAAAAAATCATGTCAGCATTCTACCACTACTGTCACCTATCCGGCCCCACCATCTGCGCCTTCTACTCTCCCACCCCCTCCCAAATTTCCACTCGCCTATCCACTCTCCTCTCCCAACTAAAACTCCACCCTATCCTGGTCTCCCCCCAAGACCCCTCTTCCCTCCCCGAACTAATAACCTACTCCTCCCTCAAACGTCTCATTTCCGCCTCTCTCTACCGCCCCATCCTCCTCTTCCCCTCTCTAGCCACCGTCCTCCAAGCCCTCGAAACCGGCAACGGCATCCCCTTCATCGACCTCACCTCCACCTTCGGCATGCGCGAAATCTTCACCTGCGACTGTCCCCACGATTCCTGCAGCGATCTCCCCTCTCCCATCGACGACGAAGATTCCGATTCCGAAGCCACCACCGACGCCAGCGCAGCCATAATGTGTACCGATGGTGGTCCCCTCCCCCCTAGTCTTTCAACCTTCAAAACCTACGCCACAAACCTCATTGCTTCCGCTCCCTCCGCCGGCGCCGTCGGTGTCGAATTCAGACTTAGCTGTGTGGGTCGGTCCGTCCCCGCCAAATGGCGCTTTACAGGCCCCTTTGAGGGAAATACATCGCATCCGGTTCTGTATATTGCGAATGCGGCGGATAACGTGACGCCGCTTGTGAGTGCGCAGAGAAATGCAGAGGGGTTTGTGGGCGCGAGGATTTTGGTGCAGAACTCGTTTGGTCATACGAGTTTGAGTGCGGGGTCGGGGTGTACGGCGGGGGTGGTGAGGGGGTATTTTCAGAGGGGGGAGTTGCCGGAGGTGGGGAAGGTGTGTGAGGTTGAGGGGGTGCCTTTGGGGGTGGGAAGATGGGGGGGATAGGGGGGCTTGGGGAGGTTAAGGGGATAGAGGGGGAAGAGGAAAGAGAAAGAGAACTTAGAGAAGCGGCGTGGGAGTTAATGATAAATCATGATATGAGATTTGGAGGAGGAGGAGGGATATAACGATATAATGATACAATGATATTTTGAAATTAAGTTAGAGTTTAAGCATATAGTTGAATGAATCTAAATCCGAGAATAGAGAATTAAGAAGAACAGAGGAATAGAAGAATAAATACTAGTTAGTATACATGAATATACGAACAACTATCTTTCTATCTATCTATCTATCTATTATAAAAATAATAAAATAATAAAATAATTCTTTATATATACTATAAAAAACTCACTATAAATATAATATCTTTAACCAAAAAAAAGAAATAAAAGACTTTATCTAGCGTATTATATTATATAACGAAAATTGAATTGATATCTTAATAAAAATTAATTGGCTTTTCTTAAACTATATAAAGTGGATATGTAAATCTTAGCTATAATAGAGAGATATGATTATTATGTATTTTTTTGTATATGTTATATCCTAACTTATAATATTTACAGATATATATGTATATATATATATATACTTAAGATTCTATATAAAATAATAATCCATTCTTTAAATTTCGAGCGAAGCGAGCTGAGGGGGTTTGGGGCTTGCCCCTATGAAATTGGATTGGATTTGGATATATATTGTTATTATTATTATTATTATTGGATGAGTAGGGGATGAGTAGGGAGAGAGGGGTGAATAAATAGGAATGAATAGGGGGGATGGATGAGATAGATAGGGGAGGGACGAGTAGATGAATAGGATGGAATAAATGAATGAATAGGGAGGGAGGTATGGATAAGTAGAGAGGGAGGTATAAATGAATAAATGAGTGAATAAATAAATGAATACATAAGTAGATGAATAAAGAGATGTAAATGAATAGGAATAAGATAATCAAATTGGCGTCCAATCACTAAGATTCTATCTCTCGCATCTATCGGGATCTACCCACCCCATAGATCACTAGGTCGCTCCCTCCCGTGGGTAGAGTACTAGATTGAGTATATACAGAATCCAAAACCAAAATCCAAAATCCAGATCCAAAATCCAAAATCCAATCCAAATATAGAATATAAAATATAAAAAATAAAACCAAGACCTCCAATAGCTTTTAGAACAATAATAATCTAGATCCACCAGCACCACCAGTATCTATACTCCAAAAGCTTTTTCAATAAACCTATTGACATTTTTCTACGATTATTGACATCGCCTCCTCCTCTCTCCTCCCGCCTCCTCCCCTCCCCCCTCCGTCTCCTCCTCCTCCTCCTTCTTCTCCTCTTCCTCCTCCTCCTCCTCCTCCTTCTTCTTCTCCCCCTCCTTCTCCTCCTCCTCCTCCTCCTTCTTCTCTTCTCCTCCTCCTCCTCCTCTTCCTCCTCTTCCTCCTCCTCTTCCTTCTACTACCTATTACCTCCTACTATTATTATTATTATTATTATTGCTACAATAATATCTCGATATCTACTAGATATCTACTAGATACCTAAATAGCTATATCTTTCTTCCCCCTTTCTTCCTTGCTTCTTTTTCTTTGAGATATTATAATTACTAATTACAATATATAATACACATAACTAACTATACAATTTCATATCTCATTTCAATTCATTTTAATTTATCTTAATTCATTTCATCTCAACTTAGCTTATTTCAATTCATCTCAATTCATCTCATCTCATCTCATCTCAACTCAACTCATCTTAATTCATTTCAATTCATCTCAATTCATCTCAATTCATCTCAATTCATCTCAATTCATCTCATCTCATCTCATCTCAACTCAACTCATTTCAACTCATTTCAACTCATCTCATTTCAACTCATCTTATCACACCTCATCTCATCTCATCTACTCCCAAGAATTCATCCATTCATTCATTTACACAGCATACCATTCATTAAGTGTATCATATCATATCATATCAAATCATACCATACGCCATTCCTCCCATTCCTCCCTTCCTTCCTTCCTTCTTTCTTTCGAAGAGAAGAAATCAAAATCAAAATCAGAAAAACTCATCCATCTCCCATACCCATTTCCCATACCCATTTTTCAATACCCCAGCACCAGTAGTACCTTTGCACCAGTTTGAAAGAAATGCTATGCTATGCTATGCTATGCAATCTTATGAACATGATATGAAAATAGCATGAATCAAGTCCAATGCAATCAATCGCGAAAGCACAAATTTCCCAAAGACCCTTGAACGCACCCCACACCATGAATACATTCTATCCAGCCAACCAAACCCATAAAATTATCCGATACAAAGAAAAGATCGAATGAAAAAAATCAAGCCAAATACTTATAAGTAGGTACTTTAGCATCTTCGATTCTTTCCAAATATTCTCTTTCGATCAAACTTTCAATACGTCGTTTCATCATATTGATATTAGGTTGGAAGCGTTGTGAAAGTTGTGAAATGACTTCTGTAACGAGTTGTTGATGAGGACATTCTTTACGTGCCCTATAATATTTTGTTAGTATATAAATCATCAAATTGGGAGTAGGGAAAACATACTTCATGATTCGGACAATGACTGTATCCATAACATTCCCTCGATGTTCATCATTTCGTTCCTCGGTCAATCTTCTTTCTTCAGCTCCTTCAACCTTGCTGGTTTGTCCACCCATTGCTTGAACCTTAATCTTGACAGCTTTACTAACAAAACCGGCATTGAATGTAAACACATCACCCATGGTAGGTAATTCATTAGGCTTTCCAGGTTTCTTAAGAAGAACTCGAGATTTTGGTGGACCAGAGAGTTGCATCAACGCACGTGGTAAATCTTTATCGCTAATATTCAAACGTTCTTGAATTTCTTCATACGATAAAGTTGCACCGTCTGGTAGATCATTAAAAAGCATCAAAATGATCATACCATATGTATTCACATTTAATTCGTACCTTCTCTCCCTGCCCTTCGGTCCTGTTTCTCCTGGAATGGCTGGGAAATGACATTTAACATCAGCATTTCCCAAATTACCTAACCAAGTCAACATTCTACCATTTCGATCTTTGAGATAGAATGCCTTGAATGAATCTTGTAATTTTTGTAGCTCCAGAGGCCAATTGCAGTATTGTCGAGGTCCGTCTTCAGACGAAGGAATACCACCAATGATTTCCGTAGGCCAACAATTGGTAGACAGAACAATAGCAGATAATTCGATTGGCTTTCGATCCTTATCTCCAACGTTCTCGATGTGCTTTTTATAATTCTGGGTAAGTTCTTCGGACATGGTAACATCCTTGAACATGCCTTCCAGCTTGGTCGTAAATGAATTTCCGATTTCCAACTTCATTCGAGAAATCATTTGCTTCTCCACATCAGTGCTTTCAGATTTATTGAGCAACAAACGTTTTGCAAGATGTTTCTTGTAATATCTCTCAAACATATCCTTGTCCTGAATATATCGAAGTAAAGTGGTGGCCTTGTCCAATACTTCGTCGATCTCAACCTCGGTTTTGCCCTTGATGCCACGCTTAAGGTTATCGTCGATAAACAAGGAGACGTACTCGGAACATCGGTCGAACAGGTTAATGAAATCCGAAAAGCTCTTGGTGATAGCTGTTTCTAGAATAGTATCTTCATTGAAACATTTCTTCCACATATTGTCGAATTTATCCTTCAATCGTAAGACCTCATCAACCCACTTGATGGCTGCAAGTGTTTGCTTCGCGGCAGCATTCATCGGCTTGGCCTTCTTCTTCGCACCTTCAGCTTCATCCTCTTCTGCTTCGGGCTTGGTATCCTCAGCTGCGACAGGAGTTTCGAAATCTCCACTGGCGATAATTTTATTAATTTCCAGACCGAGTTGGACCACACGACCTTGTAGTGCAATCTTCAGCGGTCCTCTACCTGCATCTATCCTAGTGATAAGTTGATATAGAATGGATAAATCCTCAAATCGGTCATTTTCGATCATGGCCTGCAAACCACTTCCTTCCATCGCAAGAAATTCATTCAGGTGACTACTGATCAATTCTTGTTCGACAACTTTTTGAATCTTCCTACTTGTGAAATGAGCGATAGTCGTATCACACCTGTCAGCTTCCTCGTCGAGTCGTCTCTTTGTCTGACGTAACCAGGTACTAGCAGGTGAGTCCCTCAATAAAGTTTGACATTCTGCTTGGTAAAATTTTCTGCTGGCTGCTAAAAATGCAGGTTCGAAAACAGTAATGTATAGCTTCTCACTTTCATTCTCTGCGTCGGTTTCGTATAGACCCTCTAGCATGTAGATGACAGAACGGATTAAATGTCGATTGATGACATCACCTTCTCTCTCCATTCCAATCTGATCCAATATAACCGAATTTAGAATATCGAAAGTGATCATGCTTGAATTGTCCAGAAGTGGTGAACGTAAAATGTGATCCCGGAAAAGCCCCATAGCTGTAGTGTAGATTGAAGCCTTGCGATTATCGCCACAATAAACTCGATCCATATACATGAGGACATCAGTGGTCATACCCATACATAAATTGTGATCCGTCCATGAAGCCTTTAGTCCTTCTAGAAATTGTTCACCGGTAAGTCTTCGTTCATTTGCGGCAGTTCCAGAGACGCCACCAGCAGCGACATTGACCAGATTTGAAGTAATAAGTTTCCGAATGGCTGGCATGACTTTCCCAGCGAACCATTGCTCCTCGAAAACTTTGACTCGTTCATATAGTAGATCGCCATCTTTCCTCAGTACGATTTTGTAAGAAGCCCGGTACAATTGTTCGAAAGAGAGTGTTCCTGCATTCTTTTCGTGGATTTCCTGGAGTGCATTCTGTAAAATCTCCCATTGAATCTCGAACTCGTTTTTTTCGCCGGCACGTCCAAACGCCTATAGAGTAGAAGAGTACCAGTTAGCAAAGATACCAAGAATGTAAAGATATTCGCGACCAGAGGAAGAGTGCTTCGAGGTAAACTACCATCTGACTTGTATTAAGAGCATGTGCAATGGCCGCATCAAAAGACTGTCCTGGAGTGGGAGGCATTTTGAATTACTTGATAATCTAACCTTGGCGCAAACAAAGTTTTGAAAGTTTATTGAAGTTATTCATTCGCCAGAAGGGGAAGGCAGCTGTTGTCAGAGGAGGAAGTATGGATGACCTAGATAGGTAGGTATTGAAGTGGAAAGAAGTGAATATATACATACCCTACGAGGCGCACGAATTCTAGCTCTACCACGTCCTGAAATCATCTTTAAAAATCTTTCAGTTTCCTCTGATTATTCAATTTCTCCAAATGAATGTTTCAATATGAGATGTCTCTTCCAGGTTCGAAGAACTTCTAAGTTTGCTGGTGTTCAGTCTGGTGAGGGGTTAGATAAGATCAAGACTCCGAGAGAATTGCCATAAACTGTGTTGAGAAAGGTGAAGGAAGGTAAGGTTGGTAGAGTATTGTTTGTATATTGTGAGAAGAGGGAGAGAACAGTGTCTTAAGTAGAAGAAAGCAAAGGTTGAAATGGATCTTTAAGAAAACCAAATAATGAAGTTGTTCATGAAGGTTCATCCATCAATACATTTGACATGGAATCTTTCACAGACTGCACTAGTAATTGCTAGGTCCTTTACCAGTACGGTACGGGTACTATGTGAGTTACTCGGGCTTAATAATCATATTTATTTTGCCACCAATCAGGGGATTTTCAATCTTGAAGCTAATCCTAAAAGATCAAGACGGTGAATAGATTGTTGGCTTGAATCATACTAGGTAGGTAGAAATCATATAGCTTCGGAGTAGCAGTAGTTATATGTAGTAGTAGTCGTAGTAGTCGTAGTAGTCGTAGTAGTCGTCATAGTCGTTATAGTACTATTATATTTCGTACTAAATAAATCAGACCCCCATATAACTTCAACTATTATATCTAGTCTTATATATACAACGCTAGCAAACACTAGCAGTATTAAACCTACCTACCTATCGATACAACCCCTCACACATAATGTTTACTCTTTCTTCTTTCTATGATAGAATCAGCTAACAATAATAAAATATCAAAGCTTTCTAAGCTTTCCATCTGACCAACCCAACCCAGCCCAGTCCAGCCTTGTCCTCGTCATATCGGCAGAATCAGAAAGCGGTAAATAAAATAATTTTCCTTATCGCAATCAATTCCGTAGCCTTCCCCAAACTTCTACTCTATCGAGAACTTTCATCTCAAAAAACAATCCTCTCTTCTATTGTTGACTGTCTTTCAATTGCCACCGATTTATACCTCACAAATCAATTTCTATCTATACGAATAGAAGAATCCTGATACGACTCTCTCATTCTACCGTCACATCTCTCCGTTTCACACACAGAACAAAGACCAAACCTACAAGCCCCTCCTCCAAACGCCACAAAACCTTTCTTCACAATGTCACTCAAATCCTCCACCTTTGCAGCTTTCCGAGCTCTCTCCCGAAATCAACACACAACCTTCAAAGCTACACCTCGCATCACCTCTTCAATCCCGACCCATGCGTCCCTCATCCCCCTCAATCACCCCCGCCTCTACAGCACCCCCTCCAAACCCCTCACCGACCGCTCCTCCTCCTCCTCCTCTACTCCCTCACCACCTCGCGCCCCTCAACCCTCTTATGAGCTAACCTTCACCTGCAAACCCTGCTCCGCGCGCTCCACACACCGCATCTCCAAACAAGGCTACCACTCCGGCTCCATCCTCATCACTTGTCCCAGCTGCAAAAACCGACATGTGATTTCCGATCACCTGGGAATATTTGGAGATCGCAAATTGACGATTGAGGATTTGATGAAGGAGAAGGGGATGTTGGTTAAGAAAGGGACCTTGAGTGAGGATGGGAATTTGGAGTTTTGGAGTGATGGGACAAGTACGGAGAGGAAGAGAGAGGGGGAGGAAGAAGGGGAATACAAGGAGTGAAGGGATATGATTGGCTCTATAAAGTTTAAGAGGAGGTGTACGAATAATTGGTGATTAAGACGGAGAGTGATAACGGAAGGAGAAATTTTCGATTAGCCCTGGAGTAACAAGATATCTGGGGTACATGCACGCACAATGAAATATGAAATACCGCGCGATACATCACACGAGATCAACCTGATCACCCAGAGTCAAGTATCACTGAGAAACGCCAACTGCAGTCCCGAAACAAACATAAACATCATCCAGCACACGCCTCAAAACCCACAACAACCTACCTCAGCATTCCCAACTCCACTTCCTAGAAGAACACTGAGGGAACACACATCCGAAAACAAACTCACATCTCACAAGATAAAATCAGTGTATGAAAGCCGTCGCCGTTATGGATTCAAAAATGTAATAATACCTACCTAGTAGATATCTAGCTGTCACAGGATTATAGGACCACGATACCACATCTCTATTATATATGTGTTTATATGTTATGTATATACAAACCAATGGATCTTCTTTCTAGATATACAAAAAGATTGTTCCTCATCCCATCTCATCCCATCTCATCTCATCCCATCTCATCTCATCTCATCTCATCTCATCTCAAATGAATATAAAACATAAACGCGAAATCAAATTGAATTACCTATATTTACATTTACATGTCCATCTGTCTAGGTACTGACACTAATATACCCACCGACGAGACGAAGAAACGAAAGAACGAAAGAAAAAAAGAAAAAAAGAAAAAAAGAAAAAAAGAAAGCCTCTCAGTATCCCCTCTCTCCCCCCCTCTCTCTCCCCCCCTCTTAATTACCTACTAGTATCATACCACCTGCACTCCACACCACACCACACAATATATCATCTCACTCATCTCACTCATCTCACTCATCTCACTCATCACACTTATCACACTTATCATCTCACTTATCACACTCATATCACCCATCTCACTCATCACACACATCGTACTAGTGTACCATACCTATACAACAAACCAAGCATCTGAAGATATCCACGTAATGAATAAATGCAAGTAAGTAAACAAATTCCCAATAGAATTTTTTCTTCACCTCTATCTAGTATGCTATAGCAAATCCTGCGATGGACTATCTATCTGCAACACAAAGCCACCAGCTCAGCACTCAAATCTCAAGAAACAAATTTTGCCCTTCCCAAACTCCATTTGAAAACGCCCATGACATACATACATACATACATACATACATACAAATCGCTCCCTCCACCAACAACATAACATCCCGTCCCAACACTCCAAAACTAACACATATTTCTCTTCTTACTGAACATTTCGCCCTTCTCCTTCCTCCTCTCCTTCTTCCTCTCCGTCTTCTTCCTCTTCTCCTCTCCAAATTTCTCCGGCATGCTAACCGCCTCAATCTTTCTCTTTCCACTCCTCTGCGCTCTCCTCTCCTTAACCCCCTCTCTCACCTTCAGCAATGCATCTGTATATTCCTGGGTGCCCACCTTCCTCTTCAGTGTCTCCAACAACTCTTCACTCGACGACTTGAGGGCTTCGTAATTATTGCGGAAGAGTTCGTCTGTGGAGTACGGCATATGAATGGAAGGATCCGTAAGATTATGCAGAGGGAGGATAATAGTTCGCAGCGAGGGAACCAACGATTCCGGCTCCAATTTACTGCACAGTATTTCGAGGAGTTGAAGAGCGGAAGTTTTAGGGATCAAATTGTCTGCAGTGGCTGGATGAGTTTCTCTTCTCAAGACGAAAGAGACGCGACCGAAAAGATATTGCAGGACGCTGTTGGAAACGTTAGGTTCTCCTGATTGTTCGACTTCAGCTTCGGCTTCTAGATCTTCTTCTTCAGCGTCTGCTCTAGGTCTTTGTTTGAGATTATTAGAAGCAGCACAGCGACCGAGGAAAATAAGATTCTTGACAACTTCATCTGCGAGTACTTGTGTGAGAATTGGTCCTCTGAACATCCTAACGATGCGGTGAATGAAATCAGAGATATAATCTCCACTGAGTGCGAGACCACCTGAACCCTTAAGTGGTAAGCCTTCAAGACCAGCTTCGGCATTGGTTCTTGCAAAGTCTGCAAAGTATATGCTGCTAAGTCTTGTCGCACCTACTTTTACCCATGTATGTGGATATGAAAGGCATGCTCGTACCGCAGACCATAAAGATGCAGTCTTCGGAGAGAAAAGTTTCTCTGGGAATTTCTGACACATAGTCCCAGTAAGTTCGAGAGAAGTGTAGATTAATTGCCAGTAATCTTCCTCGTCATCGTCTGGAGTTTCCAGGATCTTCGAAACAGTACCGAGTACAAAATTGATATTTGAATCTTCCATATCGGATCGAGATTCGAAATACAATGCATAAGTTTGTAGCGCTACCCGGACAGCTGAAGTCTTGTTTTGCTTAACGAGTGATTGTAGAATGGTAAGGAAATCCGTCATGCGGCTTTCGTCTGCTCTCTTGAATGTCTCCTTGAGGACTTCTCCGGCTACCATACGACACTTTTCGCTTTCGTCATTGGCAATGACCGAGATCAAAGGTACAAAACTAGATGCGGCAACCTCTTGAACAATGTCATCCGAAGTCTTTGACAATAGGAGAAGAATGACTTCGAGTATTGACATTCTTCCACCTTCTCTATCGTACTTTAGATTTGCAACTATAAATTCTAATTGTTTGTTCCATCGAATCTTCTTTTGTGGGAATTCTCTGAGGAACTGAACGAATGCACCGCGTGCAAGATCTCTTGTATCTTTGTCGTCATTTGTTACCATGACCGTGCTGACATAGTCCAGAGTGTCATATACTACAGCAGTCTCAATCTTTGAGTCCAGCACAGATCTCAAGAACTTGAACGTGATATGTCGTCGCTCTGGTTCTGTAATGTCATCCTTCATTTTCTTCAGGATGTCATCAATCGATCTACTTTTGACTGGAACATCTTTTCGGTCTCTGAGAACGACCGAGAGTAGATTCAAGGATGCTTGAGCAATATCCGAAGTGGTTGAAGAGGATGAGGCTACACATTTGATGGCTTCATCTACCGCGACCCGGTAAAGATTTGTTCCATCACCATCAATTTTAAGTGGAACCTTGACAATGGTACTGAGTAATTTGAAGGCCGCAACCTTTACTTCTTCCTCTCCTTCAGCAACCGCGTCACCAATCATTGGGATGAAGCCTGCGAGATTGCTAGGTGTTCGAATCGTATCGTACTTCTTGACGACAGATCTCATAACGTCAAAGGCAAATTTGATAAGCTTGAAGGTATAGATTGTCGTAGCACCGCGTTCCCCACCACGTTTGGCACCTTTTTGTAGCAAGTAGCGTTTGAATCGATAATCATCTCTACTCGCCTTTTCTTGAGGCTTTCGGCTGTTGTAAACATCTTGAATAACTTCATAACAGAAGACCAAACTATCACGACTTCCGGCAGCTGTATTTTTGAGTAGTCCAGAACTGATCCTGTTCAAAAGTTCATCGATTTTGCGAACCATCCGGATGTTTAGCTTCTCCTTCAACAATACTCGAATTGGATGAATCAAGTCTGTCAGTCGGCTCAGAGTAGCTGTCTTGGCTATCAATTCCATAGAATCATGACTTTTACTGCTCTTGACTTCTTTCATCTTGCTGATATATCCTTCCTCGTCTTTTTCTTGTCCTGTTGCACCAAAAATATCGTCCATGATGATTGCAATGATCGAAGGCAGGCAATAATCAAGGTCACCCGGTGCATATTCTGGTGTCGTAGCAACTAACATGGAATGCATAGTGTATGACAGTACATGAAGCTGGGAACCTCTTGCTAACGCACTTCGCAATTCCCTTAATACAAAGCCGAAGCAAGAAGGACCAAGCAAAACGCAAATCTTTACCAAAGTATCTCTAGTAAGATCCCGGGATTCTTGTGCTTTACTGCGGAGAATATGACAAATATCAGTCAAGACGGCTGGAAGTCGTTCTGTCATTTTCTCTTCTGGCAATAGTTTGAGAAGCCTAACAATGATGACCGCAACAGGAACACGCAAGCTGACTGTCGATTCATCCTTGTCATGGAGATAATCTGTCAATGGTGGTAAAATATTGGTAATAAGATCATCAGAAAACTTGGGCTCTTTGGGCATAGTGGTGGCCAATTTGCTTGATATCTTAGGAATATCAGTCTCCATGTCAGTATCAACGGGTGGTTGAGCGGCAAGTGCCAAAGCATCAATGACTTTGCCAAGAAGGCGGATGATCTGTTTCTCGAGATCAGGTTTGGCTTGAACATATCCAATAAAACGTTTCAGAAGAGCACGATATTGGGGCCACTCTAGCGAACCTGCCAGAATTCCAACAGTCGTCGTAGCTTCAGCAGCAAGATTGTGTGCATCGTTGCCTTCGGCTCTATCGAAGATAAAATGTTCGATAAGAGGGATGAAAAAGTGGCTGACGTTCTTGCTACTTAATTCTCCTTTCTCGGCAGCAGAAGAAAGCATTCCCAGAGCACTAAATTGCCTACCTTTACCTGCTGCAATAATGTTGTTGAAAAACGAGGATTCAGTCTCGTCTTCGCCAGCCAGAAGATTGTGCATGTCGCTGACTTGAGACCAATCTGAGAAATTACGGACTAAATGAGCCATAACGTTCATATATTCACGACGAACCATTTCCGAAGGCTCACGAACACCGGCGAACAGGGCTGGAACCAAGATTGTAGAAAGCATGTTTTGAAAAGCTGAGAACTCTGAAGTTTGCTTGGCATCTTTAGCTGTTTCAATGAATCGACGTATTCCATCAGAAGAGTTTGATGACAACACTCCGTGTTCCTCATCATGCTTGATATAAAAGAGCATGTTGAAAAGTAGTGGTGACCACTGATGAGAATTAAAATCAACATCTCTTTTGGCGTTAATGGCATGGAAAGCCTTCACTCGGCGATCGTAATCTGGTTCATCGAGCCGTCCTTGGGCAAAAGAATTGAGATCTGAACACAAGGCAGCTACCTCTTTCAAGACAGGAT